CTTCTCAACACCACCCTCTACTATCCCTAAGCACATCTCTTACCTTATCCCACACCCACCACTCCCCCTCTGTCCATACCTCTCCCTGCCCTATCTGTACCCTCTCCTCTTGCCTTCCATGCAACTTGATTTACCCTCCATTTTCTTCCCATGTCAAATCTTTCTCTATCCAAGTACTTTTGTCTCTCAATTTCCACTTATTTCTCATTATTCTTGATTTCTCTTTCTCACTTCCTACTCTTACTACTGCCATATCTCTCTTCTCTCTCCTTCCCGCATCTATTTTTCTAATCTCCTCTATCTTAACCTCTAAGCCTATCTTTTTCATCACTTCCTCTACTTCCCCCTTTATTTCTCCCGTATCCTTTTTCACTCCTTTTATCAAAATATTTCTCTTCCTTTCTTCCCTCTCCTTCACTTTACACCTCCTTTCCAGCCTTTCCACCCTCTCCTTCCAATCAGACTTCTCCCTCCTCCTTCCCTTTTTCCTCCTCCGCTTCTTTCTGCACCTTTTCCTCCATCACGAACTTCTCCCTTTAACTCTATTTGCAACCCCTTCAATTTTCCTTCCAAATCTTCTATTCTATTCTTAAACTCTTCTCTCTCCCTTCTCCATTTCTTCTCTCTCTCCTGTAGTTCGTTCCTTCTCTTCTCAACTTCTTCCACCATTGCCTCCCTTTGCCCCTTCGCCACCTCTCTTAATTCCTCTCTCACTCCCCTTAACTCCTCCCTCAGCTCTTATCCTAATTCTCTCAACAACCCTTTTATATCTATATTCCCCCCCCCCCTGGTGGCGTTCTCACTATCTTCCTGCTTTTCTTGAAAAAGTCCTCGCTCCCTTTCCCAAACGCTCCTTCTTCCTTCTCCTATCCCTCTTCCTCTTGAAAAGGTCGTCTATATTTCCCGTACTGCTTACTGCTTCCCCGCGTATCTCTTTCCCCAATTCTATGGCCGTACTGCTTCCCCGTGTTATTCCCGAACTCCCCAGAATTTCCTAGCTCTTTACCCTAGCGCTCTATACTCTTCCCCTTCTACGTCTGTCTCTCTAACCTCAACCTTCCTGTTTCTCTTCAGCCTCTACGGGCTCTCTCTCTGAACCCTCTGCACTTCCTCCACTCTCACACCTTCCCTCTCCCACACTGTGCTCGCCCCTCGCTTACCACACACTCTCTCTCGCTCTACCTCTTACACTCGCACTCCGTTATTTGCTTATAAAATCTGTCGTCTCACATCTAACCAATCGGAAACGGAAATCCCACATTTATTATTCCATTATCCCTCCTTTTCTTTTCCTTCTTCTGTTCTTTCTAACTCTTCACTATCTCATCTTCTATCCTTCCACTTAGAATCTCCTTAAGGCTTTCATACATAAAATGCCGCAAGGACATAAAACGTAAGCGTAAGAAAATTGATCAATCCCGATCGAGTATTTTCCCCTGGGATTACGAACAGCACAATAAGTACTTGATTGGGATTGGTCGATTTTCTTACGCTTATGTTTTACGTCCTTACGCGATTTTATGTGTAAAGGCCTTTACACTTTTAATGTTTCCCACCGCCATCTTTCTTATTTCTCCCCCCCCCCCCCCCATAATTTCCCTTATTTCTTCTCTTTATTTACTAAAAGATAATCTATCAGTACAATCTTACCTTCCCTTTTGTATGTTTACTTTTTTCTCTCATTTCCCGTCACATTCCGTTAAATAAATTATTATTATTTTTAGATAATTTAATTAATTTATGTAATTAAATTAAATCGATTTAATTCCGGAGAGTTCCAAAGTTTTAATGTTTCAACAATAGCTGTGTTTCAAGTCCGACAAAAAATCGGTGCGCAGTTAAATAAGTTGAAAAAATATATGTATACATACACACAGAAATTAATATTAGGCTGTCAAAAATCTAAGCTTGGACCGTATAGTATTTTATTCTAATTTGATTATATATAGTAACGAACGGTTCTATTTCTCTTATTGTTATGATTATTTTGTTATTATTATTTTTTATAATAATTTTATTTTATTGCCCATTATAAGCATATTGTATATATATTTTTTCAATTTTTTCTAATATGCATATTTTTTTAAGTTACAAAAAATGCAATGTGTATAAATAAAATCTAATTAATATTTATTGATTTACGCAATCTAAATTCAAACCAATTTCGATCTGACAATACAAATTAAAATTAATTATGAAAGAGAAACCATAATAAAACCAAGTACATCTCTGAAATATTTTTGAGCAAAATTAATATTTCTTTTTTTAGCTTTTTATAACATTAAATAAGATATTTATAATACCATAGGATTATTAAACAAATAAATTACTAATAAATTATTAATTATTAATAGATGAAATCCATATTTTTAATGTAAAATACATAACTTTATATAAGATTATGACATAAGAACTTGTACAGTTGAATCTTCTCCTATTTTTCCTGTTCCAGTAACGTCTCCATCAACCCCCGACATCCCACTTTCTTATCCTTTCCCAAACCCTTCCTGTTTTCCCTTCACTCCCGCTACATTCCAAAAGCCTATCTTTAGGCTTCCTTCCTGTTCCTTCTCCTCCTTTCTCCTGCATTCTTTTCTTCCCCATTACCCTCTTTTTCCTCTTTTTCACTCTTTTTACTTTCCACACTCTACTCTCTCTCTTTCCCCCTTCCCTCAGCCTCACTACTCTCTCTTCCTCCCTACTCTCCCTCTTCTCTCCGCCCGCCCCTTCCATCGTTTCTCCTTCCTCCTCACTACCTTTCTATTTTATTTTTCCGTCTCCCTCTCTTCTACTCTTTTCCTTCTTCTCTGTTTTTCTTTCTCCATCTCCTTTTTTTACTCTTTTCTCTCATTTCCCTTTCCATCTATCAAGACTTTTTTTTCCTCATTCCAACTCCACCACTTCCCCTCTATCCAAATCTTTCCGTATTTTACCCAATCTCTCCTCCTATTCCTTCTCTCCTTCTCAGCTATCCTCTCCAGGCTCCATTGCATTTTTCTTTGATCTTTCCTTCAAGGTCATGTCATTCTTTATTCTTTTCATCCTCCCTTTTAACACATTCTTCTTCTTCATACCTCTCTTTTTCTTACTCTATCTTTTAACCTGACTAAAACCATATTCTCTTTCCCCGTCTTTCTTCTTATCTCTTTTACCTCCTTTATTCCTCCCTCCTCCCCCATCTCTAGCCATAGCTTCTCTACTGCTTTCTTTCGCCTTCCCTCCTCTACCTCCACTCCTTTAACTACTACACTCCTCCTTCTGTCTCTCTCTTCTAACTTTCTTTACCTTTCTAGCTCTCTTACCTTCGCTTCCATTACTTTATCTCTTTTTCCTATCTCCCACTTTCTTTCCTCTTCCACTTCTCCCTGCCCTTCCTTCCTCTCATCTCTCCATCTCTTAACTAATAAATTTATATATTAGTTAACTTCTTTATATACACTACCGGTCATTAATTTCAAAATATCTCTATATTTGTTAATTTCTCTGTAAAGGATGAACATGATACATGTGTTTTGTACAGAAATGAATACATTTGCTGTTATAAACACTTTCAACATTTGCACGTATTGCATTTTTATATATTATATATATAAAAATGCGATGCATGCAAGTGAAATGTTTATAACAGCTAGTGCATTCATTTCTGTGCAAAACACGTATCATGATGTTCATCCTTTACAGAGAAATCAACGAATCTGTTATATTGAAATTAATGAGCGGTAGTGTATATAAAGAAGTTAACTAATATATAAATTTAAATATATAACCAATATAATAAATATTTTTATAATATATTAACCTTTCTCTATATTGTTCCTTCTCTTGTCCTTCTTTCTTCTTCTTCTATCTCTATATCTTTCTCTCGTCTTAAAATACTTTTTATTTTTTTAACAGCTTAAGGTATCGATACAATAAATAATACTATAAAAGCTACATTTAGATGGTACGGTAATAATTTACACATCCTACCTCTATAATTATGTTAAAATCATAATAGCGTAATGAAAACGATTCATAGGAATAAATGTGATATTATTTATGAAATAAAATTAAGTATAAAATATACATTTAAGAAATATTACTTTAATGATTATATTATCTTACGCGTTATTAACATTTCATACAGACGAAGCAAATAGATGCTATGATATACAGGATACCTTTAAGCAATTGTTTCATTTTCTAACATTTTTCAGATATACTGTAATATAATCGTATATAATCGTATAATCCTCATATTTTTTTTTTACACAGGAAGACTAACGCAAAATTATTCGGACATTGTCACTACTAAAATTAAAAAATCAGATGATATGTACATATTTTTAATTCACATATCTCTCATTTACTACCGATCACCATTTCATAACGATACATTTGCAACGAAATAGATACGCCAGTACCCAAAACGTATATCTGCAATCTAAACACAAGTTTTTATATTTTGGAAACGATACAAGTGTCTTAAAATGCTTTTTACTTGTTTCTAAGTAGCATAAAATATCGATACTATTCGAATAGTATAAAAGCTACATTTGGATGGAACGATAACAATTTAGACACCCTACCTCTATAATTATTTTAAAATCTGATATACTGTAATATAATCGTCATATTTTTTTACACAGAAATACTAACGCAAATTATTCGGACATTGTCACTAAAAAATTAGATGAAGATAGTTTGTAATCATACAAAGATACTGTTTAAACATCTTTTTAATTCACAACATATCTCTCATTTACTACCGATCATCATTTCATAATGATGCATTTACAACGAAATAGCTACGTCAGCAACATTCGAGACCATCGACAGGAAAAAGCATTCCTCTTTGTCTATTCGTTGTGACGGATAAAATCGTATAATTTCAGCACTCAGCAGTGGATTCACTTCAATTGATGCGATTTTAAAACAGAGCTCAATTCAAAGAATCTTCGTTGTTACTAAATATGTTTACAAGGCCTGTGAATAGCGCTAATTTCCCTGCCATGCTTTTTCGTGGCTGTATCCAGATTAGACATCATCTTGTCCGCAATATGCTTATAGGCTTTTCCATTCAGCATTAACGTAAAAAATAAAAAGCCGTCGTACCATCTGAAATCGTTATATATAATTGTCTTAGTATTATAATCAATTTTATAATAAGTGTTTCCTCTTCGATAGCATAAACAAAATTAATTTTAGGAAATCTACATTATTTTATCTTTTTCAGAAGGTAGAATAAAAAACGAAACTAAAAATCAAGTTCTTTTCAAATAATAGACAACTTGAATTAATTATAATTGATGTTTATAAGAACAATTTTATATTACTATTAAATGGAATGTTTAGAGCACTGATTACACTTACATTTCCTGGTTTAGCGCTTATTGTGGCATGTTGTATTTTCCAAATTTTACTTCCAAAACATAGAAAATACCTTCCAGCCTGTATGACACCACATATACGCCAACGAACCTGCACGGTATATTTTCAGAATGCATTGTGATCTTTAGGATGTCAAGCTTGACGTGTGCAAACTTCATATGACCAATGAACCTTAATAGTATCAATTGCTTCGCATAACTCACAAGTTCCCTGCAATATTTTTTAAGCATATTATGAGAAAATGGAAATACTTAATGCTAAAAACTCTCAATTGCTTTAAATACTTAATAAAATCAATTTTCGTTACTTCTCTAATATTGTTGATAAAATCTATATCATAATAATGGATAATAGGAACTCAATTCACAAATATTTTAGCATAACTTGCCTACAATATAAATTGTGCTACAGAACGCTTTCTCGTTCTTTTCAACTTTTACAATTTACAAGACAGCATATACATACATACATGTGCAATTTTGGATACACCTTCCTTCTTAAAGATCTCTTCGGTATCAGCTCCCTGCGGTCAATATATAGCGGCAAAATTGTATACCATATAGTTGAATATAAAATGGTCCTGTGTAAAAAAACGAAAGAAAAGGAAGACATTTATAAGAGGACCTCTTGTGCTAGAGTCTGCTAGACAATTATTCCTCAACAGTGTCTGAGAATTATTATATTTTGAAGACGCGAGATTGTACATTTGAAGTATCCAAGTTAACGAAAGTAAAGTACAATAACATTCTTCGGAGAAATCTTTATTACGCGATAGTGCCCAATAGTGCTTGTCACACGTGCATATAAATACAGATCATTTTCTCGTTCTCTTAACTTTTACAATTTTTACAAGACAGCATATATACGTACGTGTGCGATTTTGGATATACCTTCCTTCTTAAAGATCTCCTCGGCATCAGCTCCCTGCCGTCAATATATATTTCACTATCACTATCATCTATCACGCGGCGATGGTCACGACTGTCACACTGTCACTATCTATTTTTAGGTTACTGCTTTATTCCTGCATAGATCGGTCTTTCTTAACAGCTTCATGCGTCTGTAATTGAGAAAGAAATCTGATAAGCTCTGTATACCAGCTCAATATAATGCAACATATATACGAATATTTATATACATTTTAGATAAAAAACCGGTCAGTAAACTTTTATAAAAAAAAAACAATCCTCTTTGAAATAATACAAGCAATAATAATTTTTATAATTACCTCTCTATATATCTTAAATGTGCATGAATTTTCTTCTAACTATATTTGTAATGTCATCAACTTTTCACGCTTGTTGAATATTTGCATCATGAGCACCAATAGCTAATCCCATCAGATCTTCTCGAACATTAAATTCATCGGAATATTATCTAAAATAAGACAAATTTTACATAATGCAAAAACAGTAATTATCACTTACATCTGTTTATATATAAAATATGATTTCAAAGATAAATCTGTATCAAAAATCTATAGTTACTGTAACGTATACCTTAGATTAGATTTGTACGAGCAAACAAAAAATTTAACTAACCTCGCGAGACACCACGCGAGCACACGTCATTGCGTTAAAAGATATTTGTTTACCAATATTATCCACATATATTATATATAATAGTGGATTATATATAATAAAAAATCCTACTAACCTCGCGAGACACCACGCGAACACACGTCACGTCGCACGATTTAACACACGCGAAACTCGCCAAACTCGCCGCGATCTCGCGATCGCCGTCAATCTCGACCGCGCCAGCCAATCACGCACGCGGAAAAGCGGCAACACTACGTGCGAGATATTCGACTCGCAAAGCTCACTTCTCGGTCCAAATGGATTTTTTTATTATGGACTAGAACAACACAGGCGCGCGCTACGCGCGCGCTTTTATTTTATTTCACGAATGGAACAACACAGGCGCGCGCTACGCGCGCGCGTTTATTTTGTTTCACGAATATACAACCATACATTTTTTATATTTTTATTAGAAGTGAAGAGGTAAGTCGCTAATATCGACATAGGTCCTCTAAAGCGACGCCTTCTTATTTCTCGAAAATTAAACACCGCACTTTATTAATGCTGATGAGGACATAATTTACTTATATAATTAAAAACGTAAAAACCTTTACTTTATACATTTATTGATTTTTATATATAAAATCTGCTAAAAACAAATCATTCAAAAGCAATTATTAAAAATAAAATTTACCCAAATTTCTTTTATTAATTGTACAGTTAAATAATAATAAATATATATTATTGATAATATTAGATTATTTTACATGTTTGTGTAACGTCCTAAAACTATTTAAATTTTTTTTTTATTTTTCTCATATGCAGTTTTATATTTAAATATAAAATTGAGATGCAACGTAAACTGGCATACTTATTGATAAAACAGATTATAAGGTAGTAAAAATCAAATAGAATGGAATAAAAAACACAGCACAAGAAGATCTTGCTGCGAAATTATGAGATAAATTTACTGGCATGCTGTCGGCATACTGCCAACATTTTGCTACGTGGGGTAAAACAATTGTGAAGCAACACACAGTAACAGACTACGAAGGTAGAAAACAAAAGGTTTCGAGTTTAAATCCTGATCGACTCTGTTAATTTTTCCGTTTACCCCTCCCGCAGTCCAAAATTTCCTTCTGTATCTTTCCTCCACCCTCACTACACTCCTTGTTTACTCGTATATTTCCATGATCCTCTTTCCCAACCTTTTACTCACCCCTGGTTTTTCCAGACATCTTCCCAAAACCCTCCTGTCCACTGAATCAAATGCCGCTCTTGGATCTACAAAAGCAGCCACTACCTTCTTTTTCCTCTTTAATCGCTTCCTTATCGCATAATTCAGTATGTAAATGTTGTCCACCACTCCTCTCCTCTTCCTAAACTCTGCTTGGTTTTCTGAAATCATCTCCTTCTCCACTATCTCTTTCCTCAACCTATTTGCTAATATCGACGCGTACACTTTGTACGCCGTCGGCATCAGCGTAATCCCTCTATGCTCACTCACCTTTTTTGCCTCTTTTTTTCGCTATCGGAACGACTACTCCGTCCTTTCACGCTTCTGGAAGAGACTCTCTTTTCCATACTCTCCCATAACGTTTTTCTTAAACCACTTCCCCCATAACTCCACACTTCATTTCCTATCTCGTCCTCTCCCGCCGCTTTACCTTTTTTCAGCCCTTTCAGCACTCTCTCTACTTCCTCCCATTCTATCTTCTTCTCTTTCTCCACTTTCCCCTCCAACCCCTGTTCTCCCTCCTCTCCTTCTCCTAGCCTTCGTTTGTATTCCGCTCCTTCTAACATCTCCCTAAAGTATTCATCCCACTCCTCTAATGTTATCTCTTTATTAATTTCTACCTTTCTTCTCCTTTCCTTGTTTATTACTTCCCACACCTGCTTCTCTGTTCTCGCCTCTCTTGCTTCTTTCAGCAGATTTCTCTTTTTTCTTCATTTTTTTTCACACATTTCCTTATACTCCTTCTTTCTTCTCTTATGATCTTTGTGTTTTCTTCCTCTTTTCCAGTCTCTTAATAACTTTTCTACCTTCTCCCTCTTCTTCCTACAATCCCCATCCCACCATACTCCCTTTCCTTCTGCCCCTCTTTTTACTCTTCTCACCCTTACTTCCATCTTCCTCTTTATCTATTGTTCCCTACCTATTTCTACCTCCTCCGTCCTTCTTCTAAACTCCTCTCTTACTTCTTTCGACCAATCCGTCTTTTTCACCCACCTCTCTCCCTCCGCTATTGTCCCTCTCCTCTCACCAACCCCCCCCTTTGTCCACCCGTACTGCTACGGATTGGTGATCCGAATCTACCTCACACCCCATATCCAATCTTGTCACTCTTTCCCAAGCTTTTCTATCTCCTATTGCGTAATTGCATGATCACTGTTTCCCCCTTCCTCCTGTAAAAGTCACCTCCCCCTTCTCATCTCCCTCTTTTGCTCCGTTCATAATTTCCCATCCTTCTTCTTCCACCCATCTAATCAGCCCTTCCCCCTACCTATTTATTATTTTATCTTTCGATTTTTTTTTAACTTCCTCTTCTCCATCCTCCAGCGCTCCTTTCTCCCCTGTTCTCGCATTGAAATCGCCCACTACTATCCATCTCTCCTTTCTCCTTTCCTCCTCTTTCACCGATTTTATCTTACCCATGATCTTGTCCAAGTTGCCGCTTACGTAAATTGTTGCCAATCTCCATTTCTCCTTCTTCCATCTTACTTTTCTAATCATTGAACCCTCCTTCTCCTCCCATTCTTCTTCCTCTTCTAACCCTTTTCTGACTCGCATCATTATTCCACGTATTGCTCTTTCTTTTCTTCCAACTCTTTCTTTCTTTGCACCCTGTTGAACTTCTTTGGCACCCTATTCTTCATCTTCTCCCATTCCTCCTGTTCCAGCTACGTCTCTACCAACCTCACGACATCCCACTCTTTTATCTTTTCCCAAAACCCTTCCTGTTTTCCCTTCACTCCAATCAACGCAGAGTGTTGATAAGAAGAGTGTTGAATTCAACAATTGTATCTGCTAAACGCGCAAATTGTCATGGAGGGAACCCGGGGCACAGTATAAAGCCTCTTGCACAATGTCAAGCAACAGACAATAGAAACAAGGAATAGAAATCAGAAATCATGTATAAATGCAGTATAAACAATGATACATTCCGTCACGTTGGAAACTTTGTGCCTACTGCTTGTTGTCAACCAGTCATAGCATTCAAATTTTTTAGGTTGTAATTGTAACGATTTTTTGGTTATTTCCTGTTCCTATTGCCCTGTTGCCTGGCATTTGTGCAAGGGGCTTAATCAGTATGTTCACTTTCTGTCGGCACCTTTCATCTTTTGGTTTCCGATTTTCCGCCATGTTTCTCGGTGGACCATCGACGTATCAACGGTTAAAGGGCCTCGGGTTGTACCTATACAAGTAACACTACCCAAATGTCATACGCCGATTTTTTTGAAACTATGCACACATGTAAAACTTCGAAAAATATTTGTGTCGTGTTTTTTAATTTTTGCTTATGAAGCGTTTAGAGTAGAAACTACCTCCGAAATATTAACCTTCTCAATTCTATGTGTAACAATTCTTTAGGCCATGCACGTCGATTTGTTGTAAAAATACGAACCAGAAAACCTTGAAAATTCCTCGAGATAGTATTCTGGTGCAAAAACCATTTAGGATAACGTATATAGGATTGAGAAGGTTAATATTTCAAGGATAGTCCCTACTCTTAAAACGCTTCATAAGCAAAAATAAAAAAATACGACAAAAATATTTTTCGAAGTTCTACATGTGTATACAATTTCAAAAAAAATGGCCTGTGACACTTGAGTAGTGTTACTTGTTAGATGTGCAAAAGAACTGTATACATTATTCACTCTTATTAGGAATGGCCTAGGTAGAAGCACAATAAAAGGTTATATATAAATGTGCGATTACTGAATAGCAATGTTTCGATGAATTGCTCAAATGCTAATTATATCTGAAATAACTATTATAAATTATAAAATTAAAGTGGAAATTATAAAAAAAATAGTCTAATTATTATTTATTGTTAAAAATTTTATATTCGTAGTAAAGTTTAATTAAAATTAATAATACAAAAATAATATAATTTTTGTAAATTTACATTTATTCTGTTCTATTTACAGTTATCTGTACAGCGATATATACATATTTGTTTAATACATTTACATGTATACATTTCATATGTTTACATATACGGCGGTATTCATTCGTGTTTCCAAATTTTCTGTATCGTATCAATTTCTTTTTTATGCGCTTCGCATAAAGCCTCATCCGGCTTTGAGAATCAGACTTATTATTCATGCCTCTATAAGTGTACAATATATTCTGAAACCGAAATGTAAAAAAAATTCTTAATTACTGAAATACAATTATGATAACGTATTCCGCTACATGTATCTCGCTCGATATAATATTTACCTGTACACAATAATAAAACACGTTGACTCTTTCTGTAGATGTGTTATTCATCACTTTCAGACACCAAGGCAAGCTGATTCAGCAAACATGACAGAATCGTGTCAATTTCTTTCTTATGCGCCTCGCATAAATTCTCATCCGGTTTTGAATTAGGCTTATTATTCTTGCCTCTGTAAGTGTACAATATATTCTGAAATCGAAATATAAAATAAATTTTAAATTATTGAAATATGTGCGTGATAACATTTTGCTACATGTATTTCGCTCGATATAATATTTACCTGTACACAATAGTGAGACACGTTGACTTTCTTTGTAGACGTGCTGTTCATAATTTCCAGACACCAAAGCAAGCCAATTTAACAAATATGACAGAATCGTATCAATTAATTATTTCTTATGCGCCTCGCATAAAGTTTTATTCAGTTTTGTGTCAGACTTATTATTCTTATCTCTGTAAGTGTACAATATATTCTGAAACCGAAATGTAAAATAAATTCTTAATTACTGAAATACAATTATGATAACGTATTTCACTACATGTATTTCACACAATATAATATTTACCTGTACACAATAGTGAGACGCGTTGATTCTTTCTGTAGATTTGCTGTTTATCATTT